GGGGGAGGGGGGGGGGGGGGGGGGGGGGGGGGGCTGCATTAATTTTTGGGGGTAAGGTTCTTTAGGCTTTGTGGATCCCTCACTTCCTACAAGCCAGTAGGCTCTGATTTTGATCCACCCCAGGTATTTTTTTCCCCAGTACCCACCATATCTGGTGGGCTTTACCCTATCTGCCATCTGGGGAGGCCCTTGATGGAGGATCAGTACCGTATATCCACACAAGTTCGCCTCCACGACAAATGACCATTTTCATTACTGATCAAATTTCAAAATGTTATTGTGTTTCCTATTTAAATTGAAATATAATTACTCAGATAATGGCTTTGAATTTTTTTAAGATAAAACTTAAAAGATGTAACAGACAGTGCACAATGATCACGAACATACTCTAATTAGCAGAAATTGATAACTTATGTAATAAAGTTGCTTATGTAGAGTGATACCCTTTGGGTTAAATTTTGCACACAGATCTTGATAGAAGTATTCAGTTAGACAACAGTGACCCAAATGAGAACCGAACACTGCACCACTAACATGCTTCAACAGGCTAGACTACAACTGGCCTCCAAGACACTAGCTCACCAGTTGACTTCGTTGGATGTTGTGGGTGGGGCCAGTGTGGCGCAAAGAGTCCTACATTACAATATGGCACAGCCAAGACCAGCCTCAACCAGAATATGTATGTTAGTTCGACAGTTAAGACAGCAGGTATTTGAATGGTGAACACTATAAAATTAAAACATGTACATTAAACTTTATTGATAAATATTTTTCAACACAAGCAAATAAAAATATCTTGGTGGTTTTTAAACTACCAATCTGCACTATTATGCGCCAAATAATCTTTGTTGCGTCCAATACCTTGAGCCTGTTTGGACTGCATAGCTTGAAGTTTGGGACAATCTGCAATTCTGTGACCCAGACCACCACAATATGAACACCCTACTTCGCCTGAAAATAGATGCAGAAAAGGTATATATTTTCATGATTTGAAATTTTTAAAAAGCTGATTAACCACTAGACTTAAGTCCGATATTTAAGTTAAATTTGTAGCTAAAAATGTAGAAAAAAAATGTAAATACTTGTAAATTAACATCTGATTCAAAATAACTAGGGATCTTTAATAACCATCAACCTATTTAACCTCTCAAAGTGCAGGTTCCTCTCACAAATTCACACTCTCCTTTTTTTTAAAGTAATAAGAAATTACTTTTTACTAAATAGATATTTTGAGCCTTCAAGGGGCATTTTAAAGTTCTTTTGAGTTAATTCATACAAAATACATACAGATGCTTATGTGTAATAAATTTTATATAGCAGCATTATGTATAATCAATAAAGCAAATAATATTCAGAGTAATGCACAAAAAAAATAATGGACAAATAATTATTTAATGTAATAATATTTCTAGACAGAAGAAAAATATACCTGATATGTCCAAATACTTCTCAGTTTCTGACTCCATGGTTGCCAGGAATGCTGGCACCTTTTGATTGGCCTCAATCAGTAAATGCTTTAAATCTAGCAATATTGATTCTTCTGCAATGGCATAAACAGATAATCTTTACCCGCAAATTAATTGTTTTTTAAAGAAATTACTTATTCAAATAAAGTCTTATGACAAAGTGATTACATAAAGCCCAACCAACTTAAAAATCAATAATTTTTATCTACAGTACCAGTACTGGTATTATAAAATCACTGAATTTACTAACCCACTGATTTGTTCACAAATGTTGTAGCAACTCCTGTTAGCCCTTTTCTGCCAGTTCTACCTATTCTGTGAACTTAAGGAGGAAACAAATTAATCAAGAGCTACACATATGAATAATTTAAAAACTACAATAGAGTTAATGTACAAATATACTGGTTATTTTGTACAGTATTAAAATGTGGTGGGAAATGATAGAGTTAATAAATGTAATTTTGTAAAAACATAGATGCTTCTGTGGATCTATTAATAACACATATAGGACCAATAATTTCTCTAATCAGTGTTGATTTAAAATTAGCTAATAGAAAATTATTAGATGTTATATTAGTTACAGTTATGTTATCAACTTGATGAGCGGTAGTTTTGCTAACTTTATCTTTTTCATACTGACTTCAAATCACTTATTTTACTTTCACCTATAGATTGTTATTAAAAACAGAATTTTAAAAAAATCCAATTGAGTATTGTCAATTTCCCAGCTAAGCAATTTACGTAGCAAAACCCATACCGAGCTTTGTACATATTCTATCTATTGTTAATCTTTATTATTAATTTCCCATTAATGTTTTTTAAAATGTTCTGACTAAGACTGAAGATAATAAACACTTTCATATTGATATTAACTTTTATTATCGTTGAAAAACTGCATTGTCTAAAATTATTTTTAAAAAGGAAAAACTCTGAGACTATTTAGTGTTGATTTACAAAGCTAGATCCAATCCACAAGTTAAAAAAAACATATTGATCCAAAAGTTTTAGCTATTGCCTAACAAATATTGCTGTAGCCTACATATCGTTGGAAGGTTAATGATGCAGCAATGAAGGACACTGGAACTAATGAACTAGTGTGCATTCAAGTGTCGATCAATTTAAAAATATTTTTAAAATCTGTTTTCTATTCTTGAACTACCTTGATGTTAAGCAGAGTGCTTTGATTAAGACCTTTAGGTGGTTAGTGGTTAAAGAGCTTAAATTTAGATCCTCATCAGCATATATATATTGGAAATTTTAAAAAAATATACATATTTACAGATAATTATATGTCTGTATTTGTTTAGACTTTACAGCTAAAATAACACAATGTGAATGAAGTTAATATTTTTTCCATACCATAGTTTTCAATATCTTCTGGCATGTCATAGTTGATTACATGTTGAATTCCTTCAAAATCCAAACCTTTGCTAGCAACATCAGTTGCCACTAAAACATCCTTTTGCCCTTTCTTAAATTCTTCAACTGACCTGCTTCTTTCTTCTTGATCTATCAAGTGAAAACCATATATAACGTTTTAGCAAACAGTACTAAAAACCAATAACTAATTTGTCCAACATTTTTCTATTTGTTCAACAACCTAATTTAGTTTTCTTATGAATTTTAAATTTAATTACTTAAAAAAAATAGCTGAACTGCTCTTTATGAATTGAGACTTTGAATTATTCATAAGTAAATAATTTTTATTTCTGCAAGGCTTTTTTTTTTTTTTAATGAATTGAATTAACAGATTTAAAAGGTTAAGAGTGGTAAAATTGTCCATTGTAAAGATTTTAATTACTTAAAAAAAATAGCTGAACTGCTCTTTATGAATTGAGACTTTGAATTATTCATAAGTAAATAATTTTTATTTCTGCAAGGCTTTTTTTTTTTTTTAATGAAATGAAATAACAGATTTCAAAGGTTCAGAGTGGTAAAAATGTCCATTGTAAAGAAATATCTTTGATAGCAATATATAATTTTACCTTTGCCACCATGTATGGCAACAGCTTCAACACCCTTCAATAACAAATACTCATGGATAGCATCTACATCTTGTTTCTTCTCAGCAAATATCAAAACCTGTTTTCAAAGAGTAATAATGGAAAAATTTACTAATGTGACACTTTTAAGTTTCAGTAAGGTTTGCATAAAATAAACATTGAATTATCTGGTCAATATTATATTATATTAATTTCAAACAGTAACAAATTTACAAGCACAATTTACTTGAATTTTTCTCCTTCTTTGCCTTCCTCAACTCCCAGTAGAGCATAGGCCACTAATATTGACTATTGTTGGATTAATATGTTAATAATGTTTTATAATTATTTTAAAAATCCATGTGGACTCTCTTCTAACAATATACAAGTTAATTATGATGGATGATTTTTTTAAAACATAGTGAATATTAATTTGTTTATACTTACAGGAGGAGCAGTTTTCCGAAGACATTGTAAAATGTAAACCATTTTTGCCTCTTGTTTCACATATTCTACTTCTTGGACAATAGCCTGGCTAGCTGCTCCAGCTCGACCAACATTTACAGTAACAGGTTTCACCAAGGCACTGCGTGCAAAGTTTTGGATTTTCTTGGGCATAGTAGCAGAGAACAATAATGTTTGCCTTTGACCCTGTTAAGTTTATAAAAATGTAATTCGTGTCAACATTTTATTCCATGCTAAAGTTAAGGATCAATGTATCAAATGAATATCCAAAATAAAATTAGTTCATATTTTAAAGAATATAAAAATGAAAAACAGGCATACAAATAAATTATCCTGGGTGAATGAATTGCATATGTAAGTTCAATTAATTTTAAAAAAAAATTCTTTACCTTAAAGTAAGAAAATATTGTTCTGACATCCTCTTCAAAGCCCATGTCTATCATACGATCAGCTTCATCCATGCACAAATATCTACAGATATCTAAGGTGACCATTTTTTTATCTAACATGTCCATCAAGCGGCCAGGTGTTGCAACCATGATATGAGAACCTCTGTTAAATGCAAAAACATCAAATATATATATACCAGTACAGTAAAAGCTTAAGACAATTTTGCTTAATTTATTAATCATTCATCCCTTGATTCAAGAAATAGTTACATTGTTATCTGGCATTACAAAATGTATATTTATGAGTTTCAATTTATTTGCAACTTTATATTACCTGTTAACTATGTCCATCTGTTCTTTAACCGGCATGCCACCAATACACAGAACTGGGCGAAGTGTGGGAAAGCCTGCTCCAGCCATACACTCTCCAAATAGCTTAATAATTTCAAAAGTTTGTTTGGCTAATTCTCTCTGTTTATAGATAAATAATTTGTTTAAATTTTACATTTATAATTTATAGACAATATGTGAAATTAACGCAATATACTATTATATAATATCAAAAGTGATTGAGTGAGGAGACCATATGGATGGTCAGCTATCTCTTATAAATGTTGATAACATGTTTGTTTTTTTAATGAGGAGGAAGAAATGCGTTTTAAAGGGAAACCGTATTTTTAGATAAATATAGCTAGAAATTAAAAGTCTCTAACTTAAAAGTATCTTTTTTTTCTTCAAGTTTGAATTTGTTCTAAAGGAATTTTTATGCTCCCAATAGGTGTAGTTCTTGCAAATGAAAATTATTCAATCCTTTGTATCTTGTTAGAGAAATATAAAAATGCATACTGATGGACAAATAATAAGTCCATAGGGCCCTTCTTTCTTCATAAATGGCAGTTTTTTTTCCTGTTCCAAACAGAACATTACAATTGGTAAAGTAAATACCAATGTCTTTCCAGAACCTGTGAAAGCTATTCCTATCATATCACGGCCACTCAACCTGAAAAGATTATAGAATTTTATAAATTGAATTAAACCAATTAAACAACATTTAAATGTCAATGTGCAAAATATATTAAGTGCATAAAATATGCTATAAAACTGATATCATTCAATGCACCCTTCTTAACCTTACATCATCCAAATGACACCCTAAAATAAAATTAAGATACTAACACTGTAGGTATTCCTTGAATCTGAATTGGAGTTGGTGTTACAATGCCTTTCTTTTTCAGTAAGTCCAGAACAGGTTGAGGAAACTTCATTGCTCTGAATGATCTGATAGGTGGTGGAAGATCTTCCCCTTCAACTAATATATGATTTTTTTTCCTGATTTTTTCCCACTTCTGCACAGGCTGTTCAAGGATGAACCTTGGAGGTCTCCAGCTAATAAAAAAAATTATATATATATTTTTGAACATTGTGTAAATTACTGTAATTAAATATATATTTATTTATAACTATTTGCATAAATGCCCTTTTATAAATGATGACTATGAATTAAAAATAAATAAAAATAATGAGGGCCTCTAAATGTTTGCATTAAGAAATTAAATGGAGAAATCAAATTTAATAAGAGGCAGCGGTCTGAATTTATAATTAAAAGGATTGGCTAATTCGTTAAATTCCATGAGGCCAAAATTCACTACTTGGTTGCAATCCAACCACAGGCTGAGCAATAAAATGATAAAATCTATAAATTGGAAATGGACAATACTGATTATAATATTTTTAAAAATTCATTCTAATTTTGAATACCCTGTTCTTATTGGTTCAGTATATTCAATGCCTTTAGCCAATTCTGCGACACCCATCAAGGCTAAGAAAAAGAAGTAAAAAAACAGAAATAAGAAAATATCTTGTCCAAAATGTATGCTAATATTTATATAAATATAATAGTATATTAATGTAATTTTGACACACAAAATTTGAAAATTTTTACTTTTAATACTAACCTGTCTTTTCTGCTACACTTTCCAAGATTTTCTCTTCTTCTTTAAGTATTTTTTCTCTGTCTGTCTCTTTTCTAGCTTTAATGAAAAAAAACAAGATGAATAATTATCTAATACATTTTTAGATTACATTCAATAACTGAAAAGGATTAAAATATGTTAAAATTTTCGTTTGAAGGTGACTCAATTATAACAGAAATTATTACAAAAATGCAAACCTTCAACATTCTTTAAATGTTTTAAGCTCAAAAACTATATTTTATGAAATATAAATGTGGCTTTGTGTGGTTTCTTAGTTCTTAAAAACAAAAGTTAAAATCTACAATTGATCAAATAAAATAAAAAAACTTTCAATTACCTTCTGCTTTCTTCTTTAACACACTGTGTTGATCTAATAAGCTGACCTGAGCAAGAGGACCCAAATCTTGCTCTGAAGTTTCATTGTCCTCATTATTTGAAAAATCATTTCTGCTCGCTTCATTATCTGAATCCTCAAGAGGGATTTTTTTCACAAATTCTCTGTCATCTTCATTACCACTACTATCTGCTTTTAATAACTCTTCTTCTTTAATTGTTGCCACATGCCCAAGCTTCCTCTTTATTTTCAGCAGCTTTAATTTAAAGAAAATAATTTTTAAATCAATACTAGAACAAGGTGTGTGAACGCATGAAATCTATAAATAAAATGTTAAATACTTTTTATACTAATTTATCAACTTCAAAATTTTCACAAACTAAAATGAAATTACCTCCATTTTTTTCCGCTGTTTAACCGGAATGTATGGATTATATTCTTCATCATCATCTGTGGAGATTTCTATGTCATTCTCTGCACTAGCAGCCTAAAATTTTTATTTAAAAGAAATATTGAATCAATAGTATGAGTATGAGATCTTATGGGAAAAATCAGGAATTTATCCAGTTCAGAAGGATATGCAGAGCATGAAATGAATATGGAATGGCCATGCAGTGAGGAAACCAATATCTAATGTTACTATAAAATCACTAACATAAAATCTGAAGGGTAATAGAAAGAGAAAAAGACCACAGAACACATGGAGAAAGCACCTTGAAAGAAAGAGAAAAAGGCAGAAATGAAATAACTGGAAAGAATAGCTCAGAACATATATAAATATAGTTTGTGAATGGGATATGCACCACTAAGATCAAGTAAGGCAAAGAAGAAGGCCATACCTTCAAGTCTAAACTAACCCATTTAATATTAGCCTAACCGTACTATAAGTTAGGATGCTCAGGCTTAGAATTTTGTTTACTACAAAAGGAGTCTCAGTCATATTTTATAGGCTATTCATGTTAATCTGGCAGATTTTTTAAACCTCCCTGTTCAAAGCAGCTTCACAAATTGCATAAATATGTGACATCTTTTATAGATGGCCCCACACCATAATAGGCCCATACCGGTACTTTATAATAAATAAAGCATACCTAAATACTAAAGACCAAATCAAACATAACAACTCAACCAGTTTAAATAAATTGACTAATTGACAGCCTATTACTCATTTGGGACTAGTTAAGTTATATCACAATTTACAAGAAATAATAAATTTTAGTATTTTAGTAAAATTAAAACCACTAAGATAATGTAGGCCTACAGTGTAAGAGTTTAATTATTTAGGACGACATACTAATAAGAAACTAGAAGCCCTAAATATGTATTAAAGCCTACTTATACAACATCAACCCCCCCCCCCCCCGACAGTGACGAGGCTCCCCCGCTCAAAACAGCAAGACCACAGTACAGGAACTGCTCATTCCTGCCAAAGATAATCAGAGACTGGAACAAGTTTCTCTCCAAAAGGAATAGTTGAGACGACAACCATAGACACATTTGGGCCTATTGCCTCAGACCTTCCAACCCCAAGTTTCTGATACCCTCACTGTGTACCCCTTGAACTAGTGAAATATCCTCTTCAATACTAGGCACAAAAACATTGCAAATCCCCTCTAATTCTACATACATAGGAACCAGAATGATCAATACATTGATGGTGGGCCCTTGCTTATATATAGAAGAAGAAGTCAAATTTTCTTAATATTTGTGTTACTACCAATTATTAGGAACCATGCAGACTGCAGAGGAAAAGGCTGCACATGGGAAAAAGCCTGAATATGAAACAGGCTTCACCCACCCAAAAAAATCCCCCCAACATCAAAATTAATTTCAGGTATGCAGCTAAACTAAATGCATCTTATTGGCATCTCTGCATTTCGAATTTATAAAATTCAGATGTTTTTTAGGGACGGGCTCAATGGCCAGCCTCACTTTTGTTAGAGACCTCAATTTCTGTCCTCCCCCTATCAACAGTAGGGGAGCTTTTTAAAATAAAGGACAAGGAGGCCCTACGTCTACTCTTTAGAAAAAAGTATTTGCATATTATAGTAATATTCATTAATAGGCCTGACCTTTCTTTTATTTAATTATTATTTAAATCATTGATTCTGATTATGTAAACTGAATAAGGCTCACTAAGGCTAAGGTGGATGGTGATGTCAAGACAAGACTAAATATTGGTATTAATACTGTACCCTTTTATTTGAAGACGTCATGACAAAAGTTGATTGTTTGGCCCTTGCCCACTTTGACTTAGTTTAATAAGCCTGTATTCGCTACTTTCATTTAACGTCCGTTCATTGTTTATTTATGTGGTGTCACCTTTTACCGAGATAATTAAGATTGCCGAGATGTAGCCAAGGTCTGTCTGTTTTCGTTAGAATTTACTCGGGACTTGGTCAATAAAACTATTGATGAACGTCAATGTTAAAAATTTTGACACATTATATTTTCTATTTATTACCTTAAGACTTAAGACAATGGTTCCCAAACTTTTTGACGCGCAGAAACCATTTTAGAATACATTTTTATGGGGAGCCCATTCGGAAAACGTTATACCCTATTTCCTATGGACTATCGTAGGCCCTAAGCCGTTGTGTCTTTAAAGATTGATTTCAATATTTATTATTTTTATTTCCTCTGTTAAGAACATTAAGCAACTCAAAGAACGCATCCAGCTTCAGCTCTTTTCCTGCTCCCTCACCCTAACACGACATGCACGCGTGAGAACACCGTAGTAAGGGATGGAACGAAACGAGTGCCTTAAAAATCTTTTCCACTTCCTAAATTTAAAAAAAAGAAAAAATTGTTTTTTTTTAAATACTTATTCAGAATTAGTATAAATCTATAGTTATGGGAGCAGCTATTGACGATCTGGTTCCCCACGATGATGCCCCGTAGAATAGTCTGTAATATTATAATTATGTACTACAACTGATTTATAAGACTGCTGTTCTTTTCTTTTGTAAAATAATAAATATAATTTTTTTTAATATATGCTATAGTTTTCTTTATTTTTTTTGGACCTGTTTTACACAAATTTTTTTAAAAATTAAACAATTAAAAAAATAATAAATAGTTACGTGTTAAAGTTCAAGTGGATTACGTATAATGAGCACTTGATGCTCAACTTAAACATTTTAGTCTCCTGCGCGAAATGGAAGTACCTATATTATGTGAGTGGGAGTTACTGGGTCCATCTTTTGACTCACACTTCAAGTGGTTTAGGTACAGCTTTGTAGTTAACTCTGATCCCCTTGAAACAGTTGTGTTTGTTTCTGTGTTGCTTTTCACCAAGCGTAAACATTGGTGTATGCGACCGTGTGTTGTAGTATGAGCGTGTTTGCTTGTGTACCTTTATTGGGCCGATATAAATTGGTGAGCCAATTAACATTTAAAGTACAACAGTTTACACACCAGATGCGCCAGTTCTACATCTCATTTGTACAAAAACTAATACTTTTACTTTCTAAAGAAATGAGATAGATTTGGCCCATTGTGTGGATTTTTTTTTCAGGGCTCATATTTTTTTAAAAAATACGTAAGTAGAAAAATTATTGCCCAGCTTTGAATGATTCATTATTTATTTATCACAGTATTAGTAATATATTTCTATTCTTTAGATCATTCACGTATTTTGTTCTTGATAAAGTAGTTAAACGTTAACCCATTCTATCCGTATTTATCATTTTTAGTTTAACTAATTTTCCATTGTCCATTGTTACTTTTATTAATTTTACTATATAGGACTCCTCCTCATCCTCCTCCTCATGTCCCTTAGTCCTTGGACCGTTGGGGCACCACAGATGACATGTGAACCACCCTCCTCCAGTCCTCTCTGTCTTCAGCACTACGCACTGCATCGCCCAGTGTTAGTCCTGTCCACTCTTTGATGTTATCCTCCCACATTTTTCTTTGTCTTCCTCTTCTTCTCCCTCCTCTTGTGGTGCCCTGCAATATTTCTTTGGCAAGCCCTTGTTTCCTTGTTACGTGGCCTTATAATTTGTAATTTGTGTTTTTTTTCACAGTCACCAGTAGGTTATCGTACTCCCCAATTGCCTGACGAACCCTTTCTTTCACTGTATCATTGGAGATATGTTCCCTATAGCAGATGCCCAAAATGCTTCTGAAGCATCTCATCTCCATCGCCTTAATTTTCCTTTCAAAATCGGCTGTTAATGTCCAGGATTCGCAGGCATACAGGAAAACGGAGAGGACTAATGAGCGCATCAGCCTGATTTTAGTGCTGCGGGCTATGTTTTTGTCATTCCATATTTTCTTGAGCTTTTTTAGTGCGGTTGTAGTCTGCGCAATCCTGGACATCAGTTCGGGCTTGGAGCCTTCTTCTGAGACTATTGTTCCTAGGTATTTGAAGCGGCCGACAGTCTCTAATCTTTCCTCCCCGACCTTAATTTCAGTGGCGATGCCTGCGGTATTATTTGTCATCAGTTTTAGGCACTGATTAGCATGCCGTAGGACGACGAAGTATTATCGAGGCGCTTTACCAGGTCGGCTAGCTCTTCTTCGTTCCCAGCCAGCACGTCTATGTCGTCCGCAAAGCGTATTATAGGTTGGTGATTGTTCTGCCACCAATGCTGACTGTCCCTTCATGCGCTTCCAGATCATCTGGCATAATTCTCTCTAGGAAGATTTTGAATAGGGTGGGGGAGAGCAGGCAGCCTTGTCGTACTCCAACCGTGGTCTTGAACTATTATCCGATGTTGTTGTTGAGGAAGACTGCACTGGTGGCCTTATCATAGAGGTTGCATATCATGCTGGTTAGGTTTGTGTTGATGTTGTAGTGCCTCATGGTGGCCCATAAAGCGGTATGCCAAACCCTGTCAAATGCTTTCCTGAAGTCAACAAAGACGTGGTATAGATTTTGTTGGTGTTGAGCATATTTCTCACATAGTATTCGGAGGTTTAGAATCTGCTCAGTAATGCCCCATCCTTGCCTGAAGCCCGCCTGTTCATCAGCAATGATTCTGTCAGCATACGGTTTTAGTTGGTTCAATATGACCTTCAGCATGACCTGACTTGGATGGCTTATTAGGCTAATTGTGCGGTAGTTTTGGCATAGCTGTATAGGTTACCTTTTTTGGGGAGGGTGACGATGAGTGACATAATTTGTAGTTTCCTCAACTTAGTTTTTATTATGTTAGATTAGGTTAAAACTATATGCTATTATGACATATGTCCCCTTTAAAACGTTTACATTCACGTTTCTCACACAGTTTTCACATTTATTGGGACAGTTTTTTTCATACACTTATTCGTCTTATTTGATGTGCCCCCCCCCCACTCTCAACCCACACTCTCACGTACTCACAGGCATACACAAACGCAAATATATTCGCGCATATTACTCGTCCCAAAATCTAACACACGATGAAGACGGACAAATTTAGTTCAGGTTGCTTGGTAAAAGGACCGCTCCGGCGGTCCCCGCAAGAGTTTTGCCTCTACGTGGCGCGACCGACTAGTAGGGTAGACTTGACTATCCCGAAGCTAGAATACTCACGTCTTTACGTCTGTCTCCCAAGGTGAAGTGGGAGGTTACTTGTAACCTCCACCCGGGAGAAGGTAAGACAATAAAGCCTAATCAATATTCTTTTTACATGGCTAGTAAAATACACATGATTCTAATCGAGGGGAACTCGAATACCCTCCTCCCCTGCAGATCAGTGACGGGGCTCAGGCCGACTGCCGGCTCTGGTGCTACTGGGAGCCCTAGGCAAGGTGCCGCTGGTCACCTCCCTAAAAACTTAGTAATCATGCAGCTTAACTGCAACGGGTCAGAGGGAAAATCCTCGAGCTCACCAAACTACTCCACACCCGGGAAGTGGACGTAGCTCTACTTCAGGGATCCCTACTGAAAAAGCACCCATTGCACGTCACGGGCTTTTCAGTTTACGGCTCCACTTGCGTAAAGTGTCGAAGGTTGGTAACTCTTGTGAAAAGCCACCTCACAGCGGAACTGGTAGAGAGCACAACCATTGGTGGGACGGATACTCCGACCCTGAGAGTAGTCATAGGGGGTAGGTTCTTTACCATTAGTAACATTTATAACAACCCCAGGGACACTATATGCCTGCCCATGCAGGGCAAACCCTTTTAAGTGACAGGATTATAGCTGGGGACTTTAATGCCCATATGCGGGATATGGGCTATCCTGATACAAACGCCTCAGGGATCGGTAAATGTTGAGATTGATACCCGGGGTTTCCCATCATGGCCGCCATCTTAGTTGACGCTCCACGTGAAGTGTCAACCAAGATGGCGGCCAAAATGTAGTTCAACATGTTGGCCTAATGCCGGCAGTTGTGCTCCAATTATTTGTGCATATTTTTTTTTTACATTATAAATAATCAACCAATTAAAATTTTAATAGGAAACATGTCATCAGCACTTCCGCCAATAATACAATGAACAAAGGGGAATGACTCCTGCACAAATTTTAAATAAACACGCAAATGACGTCATGGGTGTTAGTCCCAACAATAGCCCAGGGCGCTACTTAGAGGAGGTCGAGCTCACGACCAACCTCATCAGGCTGCAAAATGGCAACAGTGAACCTACCCTACTTCATACTGGCAACAGTGCCATGTCACGCCCCGATATAACACCGGTCTCGGTCGAGCTCGAGGCAAAGACCCAGTGCGAAGTCTTGGATGAGGTCGGCAGTGACCATAGCCCTACCCTCATTACAGTCTTGTGCTTGCAAAGCCAAGGTTTGTTAGGAGACACTGGCAAAGCCAAGTGGACTCTGTTCCAGGAGAGAACAGAGAGTATGATTGCGGAATCAACAGGGATTCCCAATTCCTCCAAAAGCTCCGACGCTGCATACGACAACTTTGTGATTGGTATCCTCACAGTGACCAAACAAACAGTCCGTGAACGGAAGAGAGCTTGGACCAAAGCCGGAATGTTGAAGACGGCAGCTGCACGTGCTGCTTACAACAGACTGACGGCAGAAGTCCGAAAGGAGGTTGTTAGGGCAAAAAAGGAAAAATGGGTTGGTACATGTGGAAAACTTGACCTGAAAGACGGCAAAAAGGTCTGGGAACTTATAGACTCGCTATCCTGCACGGGAAAGGCCCGAAATCTGCGACCGTTGCAAACGACGACAGGCATGGCTACCACAGATGCCAAAAGTGCCGATGCTTTGAATAAGCATTTTGCAAAAATAAATCGGAAGCAGAAAGAGTCTATAGAGAGCCAAAACCTTAACCGTCTCCGGTGAAATGGAGAAGTGGCCCAGCAGTGTGGACCACATGCTGAAGTCTTTACCGCATCTTTCATTATGATTGAGTTGCAAAC